CCAAGGCTAAAGCCCTTGACTTCAGAAGGGCCAACTTCAATGAGCTTAGGAGACTAGTGGGGGAGGCACTGAAGGCCCAGAACGTAGAGGAGATGGGAGCCCACGAGGGATGGTCGTACTTTAAGGGGGTGATCCTCCAGGCCCAAAGGATAACAGTCCCTGAGAGACGCAAGGGGGGTAAAAATGCTCAGAAACCCCCTTGGCTCAGCAAGAGCATTCAGCAATGCCTGAGGACTAAAAGGGAGGCGTACAACCAGTGAAAGGGAGGAACTATCACCAAGGAGGAGTACTCCTCCCGGCCCGGGAGTGTAGGAGGGCTATTAGGAAGGTCAAGGCAGGGATGGAACTCAGGCTAGGATTAAGGACAACAAAAAGTCCTTTTTCAAGTACATTGGGAGCAAGAAGAGGGCTCCAGGCAACGTGGGGCCCCTGCAAGACACAAACGGTAATCTGGTGGCCGCCGGACAAGAAAGCTGATATTTTTAACAGTTTCTTTGCCTCTGTTTTCCTGAACAGGGACCGGGATATCCCACCTACCAGAGGTAGGGACAATCCTGGGGATAGCTCTATCAAACCTTCAGTCAGTGCAGATGTAGTTAGGGATCTTCTGGAAGGGCTAGACATTTTTAAATCTGCAGGTCCAGATGCCCTCCACCCAAGGGTGTTGAGGGAGCTGGCAGGGGTCATTGCGGAGCTTTTGGCCCAGTTGTATGAGCATTCGTGGTCATCTGGCCAGGTGCCAGGGGATTGGAAACTGGATAATGTGGTCCCTATTTTTAAGAAGGGGAGGAAGGAGGACCCAAGTAACTATAGACCTGTAAGCCTCACCTCGGTGTTCAGGAAGCTCTTGGAGAGGATCATCATGGAGCACATCTGTGGGGGGCCTGCAGGGGAGATCATGCTCAGGGGCAATCACCATGGGTTCATCAAAGGCAGGTCCTGCCTGACCAACCTGATTGCCTTTTACGACCAACTAACTAAATCCTTGGATGATGGTGTCACTGCGGTCATAGTGTTTCTAGACTTTAAGAAGGCCTTTGACACTGTCTCTCACCCCATCCTCATCAA